AAAAGGGACAATCTACGTAATCTTTATAATCAGCCTAGATATACATGCACCTAGGGCATGTACAGGTAGGGCCTAGTACTTTTCAATTATATTCTCAAAGGTGGCTTCAGTTCAAAACGTAAAATGCACTCAAATTTGATCAAATTGTCTACTCAGATTGTTTATTTATTTATTTATTTCAACCGGATCCAACAGCGGCCAAATCACCAATTACAGTAGCACCAAAAATAATTGCAAACCAATAGTGTCACCAGAGTTACTCTTTACATCTTGCATGTCTTGCGCTTAACTTTCCAGGTTGTTAACTTGTTGAATGCCTTGTACACGCTGTTCAACGCCATCATTTCCAACTATGACGTCTACAAGGTAAATATTCCATATGACCCAGCAGATTGTTTTAACCAGTTCGTGCTGGACTATTTTGACATTGACCAGACCAAGACTTGGGATTGTTTTCATGAATCTGGATGCCAGACGGCTTCAGGCTGTCATCTACGGGTATCTCGCTGCAAGCGGGCCACTGACAGACATTTCGGGCCTCGCTTGTTGTGTGTTTATCCATCATCCATTCCGATTACCACAAAACCTTGCGTGTATACATACACGTTGTCTGATGTGAACTGGTTAAGCCAAACGTGCCATATCACAGGAAGTTAGTTTAAAGGGTACTGCAATAGATTATACTTAATACACTTATCCAAGTTCATTTATTATGGTTAATATGCAAACATGAAATGATCAACAATACATTGACAGAAAGCACTTAACCCGTAACCCCTTAACTTGATTCTACCATCTTAGATCTGTTTTACTATCAGATTACTTTACAAGCTATGCTTATACAAATGTAGTCTTGCATATTGACTGCTTTGAGTGGCATTATAAAACAGGTCTAGGAGGCTAGTTTGATTATGCCACTCAAAGTAGTCAGTTTTTAAAATGGAAGGTGTCATATAGTCCTTTTAGCCATGTACATGTAGACGGAAAATAGCAAATACTATGTGATGCACACTCTCGGCCACTGAAAAACACAGAATCTGTGGGTGCGGTGATATAATTACAAAGAGTCACTTGCATTATCATTGTCAACATTACTGGGCTGTTCGCAGGCGTAGTCATGACAATCACTCAGAGTTAAGTTGATGCTACCATGGTTACTAGTTCAGGGAAAAACCACGCAAATATGTATGTTCTATTATAATGTCTGAATGCAAAATTAACCAATGTTAAATAATAACATCTTGCCAAGGATGAAAGCATCGACGATGCCTACATGTTGGTCTCTTGCCTACTGATCCGTAATGGCAGCCGTCATGCTGGTATGATCGCCTCCACTGCATGGCATCTCCTGGAGGGCGTTGATAGTTGATCATGCCACACAAACAAGATGAGAAACTCAAACTCCGCATCGGTATTCACTCAGGTAAGATCATTGTCTTTGCTTGTGGCCGAGATACTTAAGATTGATAAATCACAAATACATCACAAGTCCAGTCACAAGTACATCACAAGTCCAGTCACAAGTACATCAAAATCTAGTCACAAGTACATCACAAGTCCAGTCACAAGTACATCATAAGTCTAGTCACAAGTGCATCATAAGCCCAGTCACAGTACATTATTATTATTATTATTATTATTATTAGTATTATTAGCAACCAAAGCATCTAAAATGGTTGGATTAAAAACATTTTGAAAGATATTTAAATTACATTTGAGTTTGAAATATTAATATTAATATTAAGATTGATAAATCACAAATACATCACAAGTCCAGTCACAAGTACATCACAAGTCCCGTCACAAGTACATCACAAGTCCAGTCACAAGTACATCACAAGTCTAGTCACAAGTACATCACAAGTCCAGTCACAAGTCCAGTCACAAGTTCAGTCACAAGTACATCACAAGTCTAGTCACAAGTGCATCATCAGCCCAGTCACAAGTACATTACAAGTCTAGTCACAAGTCCAATCACAAGCACATTACAATTTCAGTCACAAGTACATTACAAGTCCAGTCACATGTCCAGTCACAAGTCCAGTAACAAGTACATCACAAGTCCCGTCACAAGTACATCACAAGTCCCGTCACAAGTACATCACAAGTACTGTACATCACAAGTCCAGGCACAAGTACATTACAAGTCCAGTCACAAGTCCAGTCACAAGTACATCATAAGTCAAGTCACAAATACATTACAAGTCCAGTCACAAGTAAATCACAAGTCCAGTCACAAGTATATCACAAGTCCAGTCACAAGTACATCACAAGTCTAGTCACAAGTACATCAGAAGTCCAGTCACAAGTACATCATAAGTCCAGTCACACATGCATTATAAGCCCAGTCACAAGTACATCACAAGTCTAGTCACAAGTACGTCACAAGTTTAGTCACAAGTACATCACAAGCCCAGCCCTAAGTACATTACAAGTCCAGTCACAAGAACATCACAAGTCCAGTCACAAGAACATCACAAGTCTAGTCACAAGTACGTCACAAGTTTAGTCACAGGTACATCACAAGTCCAGCCACAAGTACATTACAAGTGTATAGTCACAAGTACATCACAAGTCCAGTCACAAGTACATCACAAGTCCAGTCACAAGAACATCACAAGTCTAATCACAAGTGCATCATAAGCCCAGTCACAAGTACATCACTAGTCTGTTCACAAGTACATCGCAAGTCTGGTGGCAAGTCTATCACAAGTCGAGTCCAAGTACATCACAAGTCCAGTCACAAGTAAATCACAAGTCCAGTCACAAGTATATCACAAGTCCAGTCACAAGTACATCACAAGTCCAGTCACAAGTAAATCACAAGTCCAGTCACAAGTATATCACAAGTCCAGTCACAAGTATATCACAGTTCTAGTCACAAGTACATGTACAACACAAGTCCAGTCACAAGTGCATCACAAGTCTAGTCACAAGTACATCACAGGTCCAGTCGCAAGCATATATCACAAGTCTAGTCACAAGTACATCACAAGTATTGTACTTTAATATAGCTCTTTGAGAACATCAGAGTCCAGCTGCAACTTAGGATCGATACAAAAAGAGGAAAATTACTATAAAAATAGAAAAACAACCCTTGGTACAGCTAGTCAGACTGTGAAATTATTCTCTCTGGCATTACATGTTGTCATTGTGAAGAACACAATAAAAGAAGGCCATTTCTAAATAGTGTGTCAAATGACACATTTTTTGGAAGGTTTCGTTAGTAGTTGGTTTGTGATCGGACTAATCTGTGAATGGGTGTGCACAAGTGTTGACATGACTCATTCAGCGGTTTAGTGTGCAACATTGCAAAGCTTCAATCAGCTGAATGAGAACAAACGTGTCTCAGGAACTTTTGAATAGAAATTGAGATCGTAGAATATTGTTTCCTCTGAAAACACAGCATTCACATATCTTTAACTTCATTTGGGGTAGTTGTTAAGCACCCATCTTTAGATTTTGAGAACTTTTGTTGCTTCAAATGGGAAAAAAATCACTTGGGACAAATGATCTACCCTTCCTTCAATTTTCACTGCTGCAAATTCTCAAGTCCATCATATTTCAAAGGAAACATGAGATAACTGTTTCAACCAATCTCTTATATTTTTCCTTTCTTTTATTTCAGGGCAAAGGTGAAAGTCTGACGTACTGGCTCGAGGGACATGATCCATGCTACAAGATCGACCGAATCAAGCCACCCGAACAAAACTTGTAAACAACCAGAATATTATCCCAACATTATCTGCAACGCATTTGGATCAGCAATTTTTTGTAAAGAGGTAAAAAGCATAATCAGCTATTATACCACAGCGTTTGTAGGTCTATTTGAAAAACCTAACAACAAATTCAAATTAACACACAATTGTGTGTTCACCAACAGATTTGTTGTTCGCGATTACAGCTTTCGTTTAGCAACTTTAAGAAAAAGATTCAGAAAAAAAAAAGGTTTAGGTCTCATCACACTTGTACAATAACTAACTTTGATCAAGTCAGTTTTTTTTTTTTTTAACAAAGACTGAAGTATTTTGTAGTCGCCTTTTAATCTACTACCATGTGGAAGTTGTAACAAAAATTCCATCATCAAACAAACAGACTGTGAGTTCATAACTATACTGTTGAGAGTCACTAATTTGGTATTAACTCTTTCAGTGCCCGCGAAATTTGAAAAGTTTAACCCTAAAGCGCCCAACTTCGAGCGTTTTTGTTAATTGTTCAAAATTCTGTAAAAAAAAAAGTAAATAAGTTTTACTCACTAAATTTGTTGTTGTTACTCTCTGGTATATCCTTGATATATTTGAAAGTCAAAAGTAGTCACAAACATAGTGATACACCCTGAAACACTGGCCTGAACACAGGGAGATTCCGCACTTTTTGCAGAAAATACGAGATTTAGTGCTGCGCCCTCTCTCAAGAACTCGAATGAAAAAATAAATACAGGTCGTACATGCATGAAAATGGTACCATTAGAAAGAGCAAGAGTGCCCCCTTTTGATAACATATTTACTCTACCTCGTACATGTACGAGGTTTGGCAATTTTAAGTACGAACATTTACGAACATTACCTCGTACATGTACGAGGTTGGCGCTATTGGACTAACAAATATACCTCGTACATGTACGAGTTTGGCACTGAAAGAGTTAAATTGTATTCAAACTAGTGATGCGTATAAAAAAATATTCTTTGTCTGTACCATCCAAGCTTGGGAAAAAATAGCAAAGTGGTACTGCTTTGTTTGTTTGAGTTCTCATATGGTGTTACATCATTTGACTTGGTGCCCTATCATTTGCGTTGGTGCCCTTGTGCTTAGTGCTAAATATTTGAGGTGGTGCAGCACTAAAGGGCACTGTTGTAGCTACAGAAAACTTTAAAGAAAAAAGGAAATTGACTCAACAGATCAAAATTGACGTACAACGATTTTTTTATGGCTGAATGGACAATAATGCAAGTGGGGGATTTTTGTTTTCTTTTTATTTTCAGATTGAGTGATATTAATAACCTTTGATAGTCACTACTTATGTTTTAAGGAAATTGTATAAAAAATATGGAGTAAGGTCTAAGGCATGTTTAAAGTAAAACCAATGGACTTGTTTCATTGTTTTTGTCATGTAATGCGGCCGGGGGAGGTGGAGTAGAGGGCGCTATTCAGGACTTTTTCCTGTCACCTTGCAAGATGTAATGATGCCAAGTCACTATAAATTTATATTTCCCGGATTCGTTTGTATCAAAGATATATAACTAGGCATCCTATCCTATCTACAAGGATGGGACTAATAAGGGAGCAAAGACACTTCTTCTTCAGTGAAACAATAATTTATTCTTAAAAACTCCAAGATTTTTTTGAACCTATTTGACATCTGTATTGATAGGACTCAGCTATCATTGCTTGTTCATCTGTCATCCGCTACGAATACTGCAAAATCTTTGTTTGTTTACACGTTATCCGACGCAAACTGGTTAACCTATTTTTTTTTAACCTTGTTCCACTCGAATTTGCAGGATAGCTAATAATGAATACAAGTAAATGTCTCAATCAGTATCAAACATTTTTTCCCAAATTGACAATATTCAAATTTCTTGACCAGGTGATGGCAGATCTACCAGCTCACTTCACATCAGAGAGCTCTCTTGAGAAGCACTATAGAAGCACTATAAGGCCCAGGAGAAGGACTGCTTCTCACGGCTAGAACAGACTCAGACCAGAGCTCTCTTGAGAAGCACTATACGGCCAAGGAGAAGGACAGCACCAAGTACACATCACTACCTTGCTGATGCTTCACAGGGATGGAACAGACTCAGACCAGAGCTCCCTTGTACATCGATCACTACCTTGCTGGTGCATCACAGGAATTGAAGAGACTCAGAACAGAGCTCCCTTGAGAAGCACTATACGGCCCAGGAGAAGGACTGCATCAAGTACATCGATCACTACCTTGCTGGTGCTTCACAGGGATGGAACAGACTCAGACCAGAGCTCCCTTGTACATCAATCACTACCTTGCTGGTGCTTCACAGGGATGGAACAGACTCGAAGTACTGCAAAGTAAGACTTTTTCATATTTGAAGAGAAAATGCTCTAACTGTACTTTAAAACGGTTGAGGGAGTAACAGCAAAAGATCTTTCTTGCCCGATTTTTATGCTCAGCACAATAAAACTAAGACAGAAAAAAAGTGGAAAATCTGTCAAAAGCAGGATTCATCACACTGAATGTTTTTGGGGACTTTTTGATCGGGTACGACCCGATCACCTTTTTGAAATGGTAATAATTATTCTTTGGGTTTTTTTTGCTGGACAATAATTCTTTACGGGTTTTCTCCTAAACCTACGTGAACTCGCTCGACCTTTACTTCCGGGTCTACTGGAAGGTCAAAGTTGGGTGA